GTGGGGACATGAGAGAAGCCTCCCACGGGAGGATAACACATCCGGGCATCCCCTGGGCAACGTCCTTGCAGACGGCCATTCTCTCACACCACAAGAGACTTGCAGTATATTCTCAATTCACTTCTGACAAGATTAAAAAAAAAGTTCTGTAGCCCAGATGGACTGTTTTAATACAGTGTGAAACCTTTCCGTAATATTTTTGTTCCTTGACTGAAAATGAGCATTTTTTGTGTTGACCAGTGTGCAGTGCTGAGGGAATTCAACAAACCTTCATCTATCATACATTGGGTGTGCATTTACTTTTTTTGTGTCAAAAAGCAAGTTGAGTACAAAATTCTGTAGGTAAACGTCTACTGCATTAATTTGAGTGGTAAAGGAGGAGAAATTTCTTCCATCAGAATTACAGACCTATCACTGACATATTTTTTTAATTTCAGCTTGAATGTAACATTTATTAGTGCTAACAAGAAATAAAAGGTTTGCTAATAAATTGCTTCTTATTCCTTTTCTTTTCCTTTGCTGCAGTCATTTTCGTCTGCGAATAGTTCTGATACCGAAGAATAATAATCCTTCTGACACACTACCTTGGCAATAAAGCAAGTGTATACAGTCGTCCTTGTTGAAAAACTTCTATGTAATAGAACTCTTGCAAATGAAATTAATCTGTTTTCCCCTTCTGTGCCTTGCCGTAACATCTGTTCAGGCCAATAGGCATGTTTCAGCAAATACTGGATTATTCATGAAGGACTGTAAATTACGTGTACCTCCATGCAGTAGTTTAGCCGATTGAACTTGAAATGTTCTGGTTGCAAAGGACCTAAGGGTTATACTTGTATGAACACGACAAATCTTGTATTGCTTTCATACCTAATTCGTAATGTAAAATACATCCTTTCTCCATTTTTAAATTATGCCTGAGCAGTGCACACATATTAAAATACGGTTCGTGTGATAAGGAAAGTTAACATGTTGCAGATCTTTCGAGAGACTCTTAAATTTCCTTTTAAGAATTTCTAGGAAGCCGTTCACCTACAAAAATGGAACAATAAAAGATGGACAAAACATTTTAAAAGCCACTTAACAAGAACTTAATGGCATATGTACCAGTGGTGTTAAGTTCAGAATAAATATTTTATTTAAAAAATTAAATAATTTTTCTAACATTAATCAGTTTCAGAAGTTTTAACCACCAGTCATGTTGAAGAAGAGTTACCTCTGTAACACAGTTGGTTACAAAAGAGTCAGAGAATTCCACCTTTTGAAGTTTTGATTGTAAGAGTTTGTCACTTACTGCTTTGTTACATTCATAGACTGGAAAATTATTTCAGATAATTACAGTGCCCATGTAATCCCAAAGTGTGTTTAGTTACTACTGTAGTTATAATTTTTAAATAGTAAATGCTTTCCTTTTCCTGCTAAAATGATGCTTTTGGAATACTTACAGTTGCTGAATAAAATCTGAGTGCTGTAAGATGCAGACAAAATACTCTCTTCTTCCATCTGTCTCAGGATCACCTTAGCACTCATAGAATATGAGCCAATATCTACACTGTGTGAAATTCATAACAAAATAGTTGCAGTTGCACCACAGAAAGGGATATAGGTATCCTTTGTTGAGTTATAGGGAGCATACTATGCCCCTATTAAAGCAGCTCCACTGGCCGCGAATGAGTTTCTGGGCCCAATTCAGAGTGCAGGTTATTACCTATAAAGCCCTATACGGTTCAGGTCGAGCCTATCTTCGAGACCGCATCTCGTTCTATGAACCAGCATGGGTCCTAAGATCTTCAGGGAGGAGGCCCTTCTCTCAATCCCACCTCTGTCTCAAGTAGGTTGGTGGGGACGAGGGAGAGGGTCTTCTCGGTAGTGGAACACCCTCCCCAGGGAGATTAGGCAAGCCCCCACACTGTCCTTCTTTTGTAGAGATTTGAAAACCTGGATGTTCCAGCAAGCATTCAAGGCTAGTCCCTAGTTATACATGCCCAGTCCCTAAGTTGCCAGATAGTACTCTGTTTTGCACTTCATCCACTTCCCTGGCCCTATGGTACACTATTTGCATTATCCCTTATAGCCCTCTTATAGCTTGGTCATTCCCATTTTAGAAATCTTGGTCATGGTTTTTGTTGAACCTGGTCGGATGGAGCTCCACTGTAATCTTCTATTTTGTTACATCTTGTTTATTTTATCTTGGCTGTTGTATTTTATGATGCTCCTATTTTAATATGTTTTGTTTTTATGTATTGTTTTTGCTTTTGTTTGTGGACTTCTGTCCTACATGTAAACTGCCCCAAGGCCCTTCGGGGAGATGGTGGTGGGGTATAAGAATAAATTGTTGTTGTTGTTATTATTATTATTATTATTAATTCTATGAACTGTGCAGAAGGATAAAGGAGCCTAACACTTAGCTATAAAATTGGTTGCAGAATTAGTTGTGCAGTTGATCATGTACCTGGGACAGTCATTGTCAGTGGTTTCTACCATAGAGGAGCCCTTGAAAGTAATATTCAGAACTCAGGGGAACCCTGAATAATAATTTTTGCTGTTTTCTCTTTCCTCCAGTCATGATCTCTTTTGGAACTTTTAGATTTCAAAAAACTCTGGTTGAGAAAACCAGACTTCGGGACTACAAACAAAGTGCTACCATTTGTGCGACTAGAGAAGAAAAACAAAGGAATTCCAATTACCACTTGTTTGGTCAGCTAATATTATATAGGATTTAGACCTATTTCTGTTTTTATGTTGGTGCTAAAGTAGTCTTGCCCCTTTGCACCATTTAAAAGACACCCTCTTGCCCATAATTAAGGTCAAATCTTGAATAATACAGCAGCTGGCAATGACTCCTTGTGGACTTTATAAGACAATTAAGAATTTCTCCCCAGACTCTTTGGTTCATGTGTGTCTAATGGTTACTTATTTTGAATACGATTTCTGGGAGAGGTCAAGTAATTAGTCAGTGTTAACAGAACATGATTGTTCACTGAGCCACCAGAAATAGGTGCCATCTGATACAGAAGTATGTTCTCAAAGCCAGCAAAGAATTCAGGTTAAGGCTGCATCTGATCCAAACTGTGCTCTGAATGACCCCATATTAAAAACTTCCTTTGTGTTGGCCAGATGTTTGCTCTTTTCCGAAATGCAGTTTAAACAAAATGTGAGTTCATTACTCAGGATTTGTACCGTCTTACAAATTAGAAGTCTGATTTAAACAGCTCTTAAAGAAGAGGGGCATATATTTATCTTCCTGGCAAGGTATTGACTTGATCCTTTCCTGGCAATAATGCAGCAGCTATTTCAGGTCAAGGGTCAGTGAGGCAGGCAGCAACAAATGATGCTAACAAGAGGAAACAGGAAGAATGGAGGGCTTGCCTCCAGTCTGTGTCTCATTATGGCTTTAATTGAAACAAGATTTTACAACAAACACTGACCTCTGCGATGATGTGTGCAGGCTCATATGTGACTAGATGCAGGGTTCATTTCTGACCTTATTTCTTTCCTTCTCTGTCACTTATGAAAGCTTTATTGCTCGCTTGCAGAAAGGTGGGTTGTATCCTGATCTAAGTATACGGCCATGGTAGGTGATAGTGACCAAAATAGACTTTTCCCTCTTCTCCAGAGCAAGCCCTTTTAGATAGAGGGAGAAAATCCAAGTAACAAAGAAGACTGAGAAACTCTGCTGAATGGTATTGGGTATATACTGGTGGTTGGTGATTTTGTCCTTGAAAATCCTGCTTAAGAGGTTAAAGTTTTATTGGTTGCTTCAGTGACTTGTTTATATGTGGCTCCATATTAAAGGCACAGTATAACTGTCAAACAGGTTTGTAGCATGTTAAACCTTGGTTTTAAACAAATCACTTTGTCTAATTTTATGATCTATGATCCACCTCAGAGGCTAAGATCGTCAGGGAGGCCCTGCTCTCGGTCCCATCCACCTCGCAAGCATGACTGGTGGGGACGAGGGACAGAGCCTTCTCAGTGGTAGCCCCTCGTCTATGGAACTCCCTCCCCAGTGAAATTAGTTCAGCCCCCTCCCTTCTTGCCTTCAGGAAAAAAAGCTAAAAACATGGCTCTGGAATCAGGCCTTTGGTCAGTAATGGGAGCAGTGCAAGTAAATTAACATTGACGACCTGGATTGGCCCTGGATTATAACCTCGATTGTGTGATTTTTAAATTGTTGTTTTAATGGAGAGCAATGACCATTCTCAATAAAATAGTGAAGAGTAGAGACATCACACTGGCAACGAAGATCCGCATAGTCAAATCAATGGTATTCCCCATAGTAACCTATGGATGATAGAGCTGGACCATAAGGAAGTCTGAGTGAAGGAGGATAGACGCTTTTGAAATGTGGTGCTGGAGGAAAATTCTGAGAGTGCCTTGGACTGCGAGAAGATCCAATCAGTCCATACTTCAGGAAATAAAGCCTGACTGCTCATTGGAGGGAAAGATATTAGAGGCAAAGATGAAGTACTTTGGCTACATAATAAGAAGACAGGAAAGCTTGGTGAAGATAATTATGCTAGGGAAAATGGAAGGAAAAGGGAAGAGTGGCTGACAAAGGGCAAGATGGATGGATGGTATCCTTGAAGTGACTGGCTTGACTCTGAAGGAGCTGGCAGTGGTGACGGCTGATAAGGAGCTCTGACGTGGGCTGGCCCATGAAGTTACAAAGAGTTGGAAGTGACTGAAAGAATAAACAACAACATGATTTTTTAACTAGTTGGTTTTAATGTTTTAATTTTTTGTTTATTTATTGATGATTTGTGTGCATGCAGCATCAAATAGTTGCCTTTGTAAGGCCGCCCTGGGTCGCCTTCAGGGTTGAAAAGGGCAGGCTATAAGTGCGGTAAATAAATAAATAACTTTACTGCTAAGCCCGGAGGCAGTGTCTAATGATTTTGATTGTACTTTTTGTCCAGTATCTAGCTAACTTGATACCCAAGATACCACTGACACCCTTATTTTACCTTCATTGTTTCATCTTTTGTGCATAATTTTTCTAGGACTATATGCTTTGCGGAGAGTGCTTGGGAAGAAAGGAAACGTTTTAGATGCCGAGGTGTCTGGATCAGTGATTATCACTCCTGATGACTTTCTGAGGGCTGTGAATGACGTCAGGCCCAGTGCCATGAGAGAGGTGGCAATTGATGTACCAAAAGTAAGTTTTTCCCTGTGCTGTTTTCTAAAAGGATTGTTTAAAGGCTGGGACACTAGAGAGGACATGGGGTCAATTGGCCCAGAAATCCTTAAATCATGCAGGACCAAAGTGGCTGATTTGGGGAGGCGGGGGAGAGATGGGTCAGAGAGGAGTTCTGTAGAATGCTTTAGTTGAAACAAGGTTTTCCAACAAACACTGGATGTGTGCAGGTTCATATCTGACCTTACAAAACTGATCCTTCTATCAAAATACCATTCAAAAGTGATCCCCCTCTTTACCTTTCTCTCTGGGTAAAGTCCAGGAAGAGAGTTTTATGTAGTGCTCTTTGGAGGCATATTTCTGAGAGAGAAATATGTGAGCAGATCATTGCTACAGTGTATTGACAAAGGCTTTCATGGCCAGAATCACTGGGTTGTTGTAAGTTTTTTGGGTTATATGGCCATGCTCCAGAAGCATTCTCTCATGATGTTTCGCCTGCATCTATGGCAGGCATCCTCAGAGGTTGCGAGGGCTGTTGGAAACTAGGAAAAATGGGGTTTATATGGCAGATATACCTCTGAGGATATCTGCCATAGATGCAGGCGAAACATCAGAAGCAAATGCTTCCATAGCTACAGCCTTTGGCAAAGCCACCTAAATTATAGAATGTTATTCTCTCTTTTTTGTAGGACAAAAATCACAAACTGTCATGGTTATTGGTCACAAGAGAGTTCTAGTCTAGGAATATTTTCAAGGTATCCCCAGTCTTTACTGCATTCAGATTGAAGTTTAAAGGATGCAAAATATTGATGGCATTTAGGAAGTATAGGGATAAATATCAATAGAGATGTTGATGTAAAACAATGATTTGAATTGCCCCTTTTTACTTGCTGGACTCAGTGACTGTGTACTTTCATACTTGTGCAGTTCATAGTGTCTCCTACTGATTAATGACATTGTTTTGCTTGTTTTACAGGTGTCCTGGTCAGACATTGGGGGGCTGGAAGATGTCAAGTTAAAACTGAAGCAAGCAGTTGAATGGCCTCTGAAGCATCCTGAGTCATTCACCCGAATGGGTATCCAGCCACCGAAAGGTGTGCTTTTGTATGGACCTCCAGGATGTTCAAAAACAATGATTGCTAAGGCATTGGCCAATGAAAGTGGGCTGAACTTCTTGGCAGTGAAGGCAAGTGTCAATTCCGCTCTTAAATCATAGCATTCCTGTGGAACAAGGTCATCCATCACCAGTTGACCAACATGAATCAACAGTATAGGTTGGAGGTGATGTTTTATGCACAAGTATGATTAGACTGTTTGCAAGTGGAGGTTTTTCTTTTCCCCTGGAAATATGGGTGATCACAAAATATATCCATTAAATTAGTAAAATTGTCATAATCATCTTATTGTGAATGCTGGAGACATGGGGCAGCTTCATTTTGGAAGGAATGAAATGTGTTTGGTGGTGGTAGTGAGAACCTGCTCCATGAGACGAGATCCTTATAAAGGAACTTGCAATAGGATTGCAAGTCATAGTCTCAATTTGGCATGATTCGTCTCACTATACTCAGGAGGTGGGAGAGGCTCGTGATCAGTCCCTGCAGTGGTGAGTGGTAGGAGCCCCCGGTGGCACAATGGGTTAAATCCTTGTGCTGGCAGGACTGCTCACCGAAAGGTCAGGGGTTCAAATTCAGGCAGCAGGATGAGTTCCCATCTGTCAGCTCCAGCTTCTCATGTAGGGATATGAGAGAAACCTCCCACAGGATGGTAAAACATCCAGGTGTCCCCTGGGCAACGTCCTTACAGATGGCCAATTCTCTCACACCAGGAGCGACTTGCAGTTTCTCAAGTTGCTCTAACATGAAAAAAGTGGGGACTGGTTACTTCTATAGCAGTGGTGAATTAGTTCCGGGTTTTTCATTTGAACCTTAAATGAGCTATCCAAGGTATTGAATATCCCAATGTTAAGTTCATTACATTGGATAGCTCCATTACAGCTTATTCTAAAACATGGGGCAGATATGCCATCCTGATGTATGGAAGCCATCAGCTGCATCTGAGTGTATGCTATTACGAGCTGGGACTCCCACAGCAGTTGGACTGGGAGCAGCTGTCTGCTGGACTACACAGTGATTGTGCCATAAATGCTATATACCAGATACGTTGTGTACGTTTTGATATGAGAATGTTCGCTGTCAAATCACTTTTGTTTACCAAACTGATTTTTAAAAACTACACGTGAACTTTGGCTTCACACTTAGTTGATTTTTCTCAAAAGAGAGAAAATTAAATAGTTGAGAATTTCTGATGTTCATAATGTAGAAGACCACCAAATGGTCTTTTCTGGGTTTTAAGATTATTAATTCACAGGCATTAGTTGCTCAGCTTTAGAACAGCAAGAGTGCTCTTATGTAGATGGAAGAGAGTCAGGAGCTCTAAAATTATTTTTATTTAACAAGCGTGCTCAATTGCGGCAAAAACTTTTTGGTAGAAAATGTTCCAGGTGTCATATTTTCTGGTTTAAATGAGATCCTTTCAGTGTTAGCTGTTACTTTTTTCCCTGCTTAGCAATAATTTCAAAAATATACACTGTTGTCAGAGCTCTGACTTCACCTTGGCATTTGCTTGCTTCCTGTATCCCTTTTCAAATGCCTCCCTGCACTTGATATGTGCTTAAGTTTGGTTTGTCATCTGGGTCAGTTACGTCAAACTACTTTCCAGTTAAAATTTCCTCTGCCATTTTCTCGCTTCCTCTTGGCTGCTGAAGTTAAAGTAGATTAATTATGCTTGGACAGCTCTCTGCTTTATGAGCAACTATCATTGAATCTCTGGCTTATGTTCAGATAGGAATTTTAGCAGATCTTTTATTGTTTAGTGAAGACAAACGTGAAATGTAGAATGTGATAGCTCAGTTTGTAAGGAATTATTTAAAAATTTTACATCAAATTCCATGCAGCAGACTAATTTGTTAACTAGACTGCAAGAAAGGAAAAGTTGTTCATATTGCTTTGCTATTCAGTGGGTGGCTCCGAAATGCGATGTGTACAGTGTGGATTTTCTTTCATAGACATGGAGCCAAATAATGGTAGTTATAATTCTGTATAATGTGAATATATTGATTACATTTGCATGTCATACTAAGCCATGCCATGGCTTGATGTATGTGATGTTTACAGTGATGTGGAACTTATTTTCTTATCAGCCATAGTTTCTTAACCAGCCATGAACCAAAATCTGAACTTGTGACTTGTCTCTGAAACTCCCTTTTATTTAAACAGTGTCTTCTTCTGACATGCACATGCATAACCATCATTTGTTCTTGGCTTCTTCCTAACTGCTCCCCTTAAACAGGATTGGAGCCCCCGGTGGCACAATGGGTTAAACCCTTGTGCCAGCAGGACTGAAGACCGACAGGTCGGAGGTTCAAATCCGGGAAGAACGTGAATAAGTTCTCTCGGTCAGCTCCAGCTCCCCAGGCAGGTACATGAGAGAAGCCTTCCACAAGGATGGTAAAACATCACAATATCCGGGCATCTCCTGGGCAACGTCCTTGCAGATGGCCAATTCTCTCACACCAGAAGTGACTTGCAGTTTCTCAAGTCACTCCTGACACGGGGAAAAACAAACAAACAAACACACCTTAAACTGGAACTAACAAAAAAGATACAAGAGGAGCAAATCAGAGAAGGGGAAGTAAACTGTAGTTTGTTTAAGCGTTATATGACTTAAGAAATAAATTGAGCTTGACACAAGCCATAGTTCACCATGACTTTCGGATGCAGTGTTAGGTACTGTAAGACATGTAGAAAAAATAGTCTATTTGAATTTGAAATATGTGCTGGAAGGAGGAGAGGAAGGGAAGACATGGTTGATCAATACAGTGGGTCGATATGGTTTTATCAAACTTCCTAGTTTCAGATTGTTTAGGGATTTGTGATCGGAACCTCGAATTGAGCCTAAAATATTGGAGATGAATTGGAATAAAGTTTAGGGTTAGAGTTAGTAGGCTCTAGCTCAGTCATGGGCAAACTTGTTTTGGACTTCAACTCCCACAATTCCTAACAGCTGGCAGGCTGTAAGGAATTGTGGGAGTTGAAGTTAAAAATACCCGGAGAGCCAACTTTTGGCCTTGCCTGCTCTAGCTGCTATATTTTGCATCAACAGACGTTTCTAATTGGTTTTCAAAGGTAGCTGCATGTAAAACAGTTTGCTGCTATCCACCCAAGATGGAGCCAAGGTATTTCAGATAATTGTCAGATCTCCTTTATCTAAAGGGTAATACAAGTTTTTAAAAAGCACAGAACACATATAACATAATGAAAAAAATCTTTAAAAGTTGCCTGTTTTCCGCCCCACATAGGGACCAGAACTGATGAACAAGTATGTTGGAGAATCTGAACGTGCAGTCAGAGAGGTAAGGCGTTACAGTAATTACAAATAACTAATTACTTGGAACTAATTGGAAACAAGGCGTGTAGAGATAAAAAGTTACTTTCCAAGCCCTGAACTCTTAAAAAGCTAACTGCTCAATAACATCTTTTTTTTTTGGTATCATATACTCACTGTATTTCAAGAATGATTTTTTCAGACTTTCAGACTGTAAAACATTAGCTACCAGTGTGTCTCTAGTCTCAGAGACACATTGTTGGTTTTGTTCTATAAAGCCCTATGATACTTAGCTCCAGCATATGTGAAAGACTATATGAACCAATATATCAACCCATACTTTGCTGCAGGACAATCCATTTTGTTAGTTCTATCACCAACAGAGGTGTCTTTCTTGAGAATCCAACAGAACCAAGGGAGTTAGTTTCCACCTGCAGACAAAGACCTTTGTTTTCGGTCAAGCGTTCAGTAAAAAATAACTAAATGTTGATACTGTCAATCGTATTATCATGGATTTTCAAACTGGTAACATAACTTTTATTTTAATGGTATAATTAAGTTTGTATTTTAATATGTATAAATTATAGGTAAAGGTAAAGGTAGTCCCCTGACATTAAGTCCAGTCATGTCTGACTCTGGGGTGTGGTGCTCATCTCCATTTCTAAGCCGAAGAGCCAGCGTTGTCCGTAGACACCTCCAAGGTCATGTGGCCGGCATGACTGCATGGAGCGCTGTTACCTTCCCGCCAGAGCGGTACCTATTGATCTACTCACATTTGCATGTTTTCGAACTGCTAGGTTGGCAGAAGCTAGGGCTGACAGCGGAAGCTCACGCCGCTCCCTGGAATCGAACCTGCGACCTTTCGATCAACAAGCTCAGCAGCTCAGTGCTTTAACCCACTGCGCCACCGGGGGCCCCATTGTATAAATTATACATACTAAAATAAAAACTAAATTTATCAGTCTAGATCAGGCCTGGGCAATGTTGACCCTCCAGGTGTTTTGGATTTTAAAAAAACGGCTGTTAGGAATTGTGGGAGTTGAAGTCCAACATATCTGGAGGGCAAAAGTTTACCCATGCCTATTTTAGATTCTTCCTTTACTTTAATAATAACAATAATAATAATAATAATAATAATAATAATAATTTATTTCTATACCACCTTATTTCCCAAAAGGGACTCAGGGCGGTGTACAACAAAAGATCGGAAAACATTCAATGCCTGAGAAATGTCACATAATAAAGCACCTCAAATAATAAACAATCAAATAGACAGCATCAGGATATACTTATAAAGCAACTCAATAACAAGTGTGAAATTAAAATATACAGAGTAAAATAAATGGGACACATTTCTCTAATGACATTAATAATGGTCAGAGGTAATGAACACATTTAAAACAAAACATACAGTTAACAAGAGACCATCCGGACGCAGGTAGATAATCTGGTAGAGAGGTTGTTATTGTTGATGATGATGATGGTGATAATCTTATACCTGAAATTAAGATCTAAAATTGTTTTATAATACAGTAGTGTCTTGCTTATCCAAGCTAGACACATCCAACTTTCTATATTATCCAATGGAGTCTGCCTCCCACCTGGATCCACTGCTGTTTCAATATGTTGCAATGTTTTGGTGCTAAATTGGTAAATACAATAATTACTACATAACGTTACTGGCAACTGAACTACTTTTTCTGTCAATTTGTTGTAAAACATGATGTTTTGGTGCTTAATTTGTAAAATCATGACATAATTTGACGTTTCCTTAATCCCTCCTTATTATCCAACATTTTCACTCATCCACGTTCTGTTGGCCCGTTTGTTGGATAAGTGAGATCCTACTGTATTTCTTAAAAGTTTAGAAAGTGAGGATCTGGGTTAGGTGTATGGATTTAGCTTCACATGGATGGCTGAATAGAAGTTTTTTGAATGCCACTCCCTGTTTTGGTCTCATCTAATGAGGTTGCAAGTAACTACCTTGTGAAGTAGGAGGAGTGAGTTAAGAGTTCTAATCTCACAGTGTGTTGCAATTGAAAAAGAAATTACCAAATAATTCAGCATACTAGGCAGTAGAATCAATTCTGCTCGTTGTGTGACTATAGATCATAGGTATAAACAGGAGAGAGGGAGATGGGTAAAGAATGTAGCAGCACTTTTAAGACTAACTGGTTTTTATTCTGGCATGGGATTTTGTGTGTATGAGCCTTTATGACATCTTGCTGTGATTTTCTCAGATATTTAGGAAAGCCCGAGCAGTTTCACCTTCCATATTGTTCTTTGATGAAATCGATGGCCTTGCAGTAGAACGGGGAAGGTAAGAAAAATTATTTATAGCATGAAGAACAAAAATTAACTGGGGATGTTAAACAGTGATATAATTCTCAGGGCCCTTCCACACTGCCTTATATCCCAGAATATCAAGGCAGAAAATCCCACATTATATGAGTGTGGACTCAGATAACCCAGTTCAAAGCAGATATTGTGGGATTTTCTGCCTTGATATTCTGGGATATAAGGCTGTGTGGAAGGGCCTCCGTATAAATAAAAATGTATTTCTAATTGTACAGTTGCAATTGAATGATGTGAAAACAAGTCGATGGATCTTCATTAATTTTTGCGATATATTTTAATTGTGTGTCTTAAAACCATAGCTGTTGATAACATCAGTATTCTCGTATGTGTAGTCAACGATGAGCCTTTATTTTAGTTCATACTTACTGTGAAAGGTAGGAATATCTCGATGGACTGCAATTCAGCAGTCTCTTACTTTGAAGTTGCTTGACCAATAAAAACAATTTACATTTAAAGGAAAGTAATGGACTATCATTGGAAATTTGCGTGTTCATACATCAAATAGATACCAGTGAAGATGTAGTTGTGTATTGTTTTTGTATTATATATAACTGATGATGTTATACATTTTTGGGCTCTGTTCTGCTCTGTTCAAAGAAGGGCATTTAGTATGGACCCTTTCTAAGTGATGTACTGGCTGGAACAAAGAAGTACGCGGTGACAAAAAATCAATTAAATTAGAAAAGTAAGGTTTTCTTCAAATTATAGGGGAAAACCCCTTTGATAAGTGTCTGAAATTTTAGAACATTGTCACTCCAAGATTTCTAAACAAGGCCTCAGAAAGCGTAGATTGTACATTTAGTTCTGTGTGGGTTCGGCAACAGAATATGACTAAAATGTCCCATCTTATTTCATACAGGGATTAATTATTTTTGAAAGAATGCAATTTTTGAAGTATCTTGTGTTTTGTATAACAACAGGTGTATATTGATACCCTGGAAAGAATATAGTAATTATAAGAGCAATATTAATCTGTTCATAGCAGCAAAAGTTAGAATTACCGTATATACTCGAGTCTAAGCCAACCCGAATATAAGCCAAGGCACCTAATTTTACCACAAAAACTGGGAAAACATATTTACTCAAGTATAAGCCAAGGGTGGGAAATTAGTAGTTACTGGTAAATTTCAAAATAAAAATAGATACCAATAAAATTACATTAATTGAGGCATCAGTAGGTTGAATGTTTTTGAATATTTACTTAAAACTGTAATTTAAGATAAGACTGTCCAACTCTGATTAAACCATTGTTCTAACCTTCTTCAGTGTAAATGTGCTTACATATCCTTCCAATAGTAATAAAGAGAGTAAAATAATGGAAATGTAATAATAACAATAATAAAGTAAAATACTAAATGTAATAATAATGAATAGTAAAATAATATATGTAATAAAATAATAAAACATAGAGTAAAATAATACATGTAATAATAATAATAACAACAATAATAGTAAAATAATGTAATAATCGAGTAAAATAATAACTATAATTAAAAACAATAATAAATAGAGTAAAATAATAAATGTATACTCGAGTATAAGCTGAGGGGAGTTCTTTCAGTCTAAAAGAAGGGCCAAAAAAGTAGGTTTGTACTTGAGTATATATAGTAATCACGGAACATGAATCGGTCACCAATCGAGGCAAAGCAGTAGCTGGTTTATTATCTGTTCTTCCCTTTAATGCAATTTGGTTGCTGTATGAACATATTCTGGTACCTCTGCCACATTTTCTCTGCTTTTTCCTGATGATACTTACAGTCTTGAAATGTTCTCCAGAGCATTATTTAATATATCTAAACCTATTGTTGCAGAAGTTGCAGATAAAGACAAAAATGCCAAATGCAGGTAGTTTTCATAAGAGTTAGAAGCTGCCCAATATGATAAAGAGCTGAGGAAGAGATAGTGAGTTCATTGGGTCCTTTTGAAGAAGGTTTCTATTTATTTGGCAAGATGTACTTCCTAACCTGCCATCTTATCTGGAGATTGATGGAGAAGGGGAAAAATGCAGGCTCGGCTTAGCTTCTTTGGAGATAGGAGTGTGACCTTGTGTAATCATGTTCTACTGGGAGACATCTGTTTTTGAAGCCTAAGAAATAGCAGAGCAGAACTCAAATATTTTATTGTCAAATCTAAACCATATGGGAGGTAAAATATGTAACATAGTTCTCATAAAATTCGTCTGAAATTAAACGATGTAGGAAACCAGACCAGGCACTTATTGGAAATGGCCTGTTTTTACAGGCTGATTTTCCACAGTAGGAATTTGTAAATGCATTAGAGATGCTAATGATTTGTAGCCTTGAGATCCATTTCCTCTTCTATAGTCAAGGAAACACCTGTGGATATTATCTCTCTAGCCCCCAACTGTTTCCCCCCTACAAATACCTTGTGTCCTTTCCTAGAAAGTACATTTGAAACCTCCCCTGGTTACAATTTTGCCTAATTATTGGCAGCATTTGAAGAAAATAATCTGGAACACTGAATGCTGCAGGTGGCTTAGTTTTGTGCTAAGGAATGACATTATTTTATCTGCTGTCCCTAGATATAAAATAGAAAAGTGTACAGCTGTATACATTTTGGGGCCAATTAAAGGAGAGGAAAGATTATCCATAGAATGCAATGTCTTCTCAATTGGTAGGTAAAGGTAAAGGTAAAGATTTTCCCCTGACATTAAGTCCAGTTGTGTTCGACTCTGAGGGTTGGTGCGCATCTCCATTTCTAAGCCAAAGAGCCGACATTATGCAAGGTTATGTGGCTGGCATGACTGCATAGAGCGCCATTACCTTCCTGCCTCAGCAGTACCTATTAATATACTCACATTTGCATGTTTTCAAACTGCTAGGTTGGCAGAAGCTGGGGCTAACAGTGGTAGCTCATGTTGCTCCCTGGATTCGAACCTGCGACCTTTCGGTTAGCAAGTTCAGCAGCTCAGCAGTTTAACCCACTGTGCCACCGGGGTCTCCATACATCTTTATTGGTACTTTTGTCAAAGTGGTAACCATGTTGCCTTAATAAGAATAAAACTTTATTTATACTCTGCCACCGTCTCCCAAAGGGACTTGGATAGCTCACAAAGCATGCCAAGATTCAAATACACAAAATACAATAAGTGCATAAACAATAACACAAATGCAATATCAAACAACATAACATCATAAGTCCTACTGGTTAAAAGTCAATAAAATGCAGATATAAAACAAACTGCAAACAATATCAGTTTCATAAAGTCCAAGGTGATATAATCTCTTGGTCCCCAAATATATTCAGTAAAAATCTAAATATGATCAAAGGCTTGTCTAAAAAGTCATGTTTTCAATTTTGTGTGGGAGGCCTGGAGAGTGGGGCCTAGCCTGATTTCTCTCCGGAGGGTATTCCAAAGCTGGGGGGACACCACCAAGAAGGCCCCCTCTCTTGTTCCCACCAACCGCACTTGAGACGGAGGTGGGACTGAGAGAAGGGCCTCTCTGGCAGATCTCAGCGCCCGCGCTGGTTCGAAGAAGGAGATGCAGTCTCAAAGATAGGTTGAACCTGAACCGTGTTCTAGGTGCTGTTGAATTGCAACTCCCAATATTCATGATCCATTGGCTATGCTTGGTTAAGCAGATGGCAGTTGCAATTCAACGTGTGTGCACGATTCCTAGCCTGAATATGGACTGAATTAAATATTAATGAATTTGAATCAAACTAGATTTCTGAAAGAAAAAAGATTTTGACTTTTACAAATTCCAAATTAGGATAAATTAGGATTGGGTTGCAAAGAAAAGCACAGGGAGGAATTTGCATGAAAGTGGGGGAAAGAACTGTCCCTATTATTAGAAGACACAGTTGTTCCTGTATTGCCTTGATAAATTGGGCAAAATGCTGACCAACATTTTCTTACATCATCCATATAAAACATATTCACAGTGTATATGAAACTGTAGGAAGTTGGAATGGTTTAAGAAACATGTACATCCCTATGACAGGGCTATAAAACTTGTCATCATTTAGGTCAGCGTGTTTCAGGCTATCCGATGTGAGAGACTGGCAATGTTTTTTCCACTATGAAAGGGACGGGGACCATGTTTACGCTTCTTAACTAATACCGTTTCTTTCATTCCTTCGAACATGCTGCAGACTAGTAGCTCATAGATCGGCACCAGTCCCACAGATCACTACTTTGAGTAGGAAACTTCTAGATGGTGGACTCTAATGTATGTCTGCCATGTCTGACATGACTAATGGCCAGGAGAGGACCCAAGTTCATGTTCCTTGCTATAGAAATTTATTGTGCTTTCTTATGACTACCTACCTATTATTTAGAGATGCTTGGGTTTGGAGGCAGGGGAGAAGCAAGAAAATTGCCAGGCAGTGGAGAAGAAAAAATGCATGATCTGCACATTTTAAATAAAGGGATGGAGACATATCATGGATTTCCAAAGTGGAACTGAGAGTATAAAATGAGAGGTTTTGTTTTGAGGTGTTGTGGTTGTTCTTGCTGACTACCATAAAGCCATTTTGGCAGTAAGAGTTGTTAAAAGTATTTACTAAATCTCCTAAAAGCAGAGGTATATTTGGCATGTATTAAATGAAACTGGCCAATCCACAGTCCAAAATGCACCAGAAGGAACAATCTGTACTGTGGAAGAAAATGGATGCCTTTCCTATTTATCTGTGGTTCTGACTAATATTGGGTTTTCGTCAGATAGCTGTGTCTTCTTGGCATTATTGCAAAAAAGTAATCTGCGTTGAGGTCATGTCCACACGAATGTTCCAGATACAACTGCAGGCAAGAAGGAATGTTTGTTCCTAAATAATCCTTCCCTTGTCAAAGCTTCAGATTCTTAACAAATTGTGCAGCTGCAAAGAATTATGGGTACTTTTAATTCCTTGGTATCCTGACCATGTAAAACCTAATTCCACTGACCAGTGGGAGACTGCCAAGAGGAAATGGCTCGGTAATTAAACTTGAAGGTGATGAAT